TTATTGAGTTTTACATTACTGCTACTACTACTTACTGAAAAGATCGATTTGCACGCAGATGTAGTCACTCTGTGGAACCCTTTTCTGCACTTATGTGCCTTCTACACAACCTTGCAAACACGGCTCATTTTGTAATACATTGCTTATAATCTTTAGGGTGTCATAACATCAATTTCAACACATGATGTAAAAAATCAACTGCAAATATTTTCAGGTGTGAACCAAAACAAAAAGTAACTACCTATATAAAGAAATATGGAAATTTTGTATTTCTCATACTGTACTAAAGTACGCTCTATACAAAATCAAAATAGACCTTGTGTCATAGTATGTTCTCAATGTTGACAGCTGTCAAATATAGACTATTCAAACGGCCGTACTGTAGATATTACTTATTATTATATTCTGTGAACGCACATACAAAATGTACCAACGCGCCGAGTAATTTTATATTGGAAATTGAGATCCAATAACTTTTTTAATTTTTCTACCTTTGTCAGTTTCATGGACTGTTTCAACCATGGTCCTTTCAATATTTACAGTAATTTTTTTACACATAAGCAATGTATATCAAATGAGCCTGTGTGACTGTGTGTGGGTAAGGTTGTAGTGTATTACCGCCGCCGTTATTGGTGATATAATTGTGATTGATCGGTGTAGTGGGTGCCGCGCGCGAGAGCTCAACCGTAATCAATCTCGTCGCGTCGCATGATGAAAAACTTCGGTTATTGACGGAAGTATGGGGTTGGCGAAGGTGAAAGAGACTAAATATATATACCTATGTGTAGGAATTTAATGTAAATTTTACAGAATATAAGCAGCAATGTATATCAAATGAGCCTGTGTGACTGTGTGTGGGTAAGGTTGCAGTGTATTACCGCCGCCGTTATTGGTGATATAATTGTGATTGATCGGTGTAGTGGGTTCCTCGCGCGAGAGCTCAACCGTTATCAATCTCGTCGCGACGCATGATGAAAAACTTCGGTTATTGGCGGAAGTATGGGGTTGGCGATGCGTGGGGTAGAAAAGGTGAGAGGAACTAAATACAGGGAGTAACGGGGAGGGTATTACAAGCCGAAAGGAGGTGAAGGTACTCATGAAACCTGTCCAAGGGGTCCGGCTGACCATACACATGTAACTCCTTTTTAAAATATTGACAGAATGTTATTCCATATATATTTATCACTTAGTGAATAAGTTCCCAGTCTGGTTAGGACATTGCAGGCTGAACCACCTGATTGTCCGCAAGTAAGATGGTTCCGTGCTTCGGATGGGCACGTTAAGCCGTCGGTCCCGGTCGCTCTTTATGATGGCGGTCGTTACACAACCATGTCAGAGGCCTGCTACTTGCAGTAGGCGGTTAAAAAACTCTGACACCAGGGTTCATCGGTTTGTTGAACGACTCGGTGTCCACGAAAAGAGAGATTGCCATTCATTGAGGCATAAAAATGCATGCTGTGTGGTTAGCCTGGCCAGCCCCGAGGCAGTGCCTTTATTTTTATTTATTTTATCCCGCCTGAGCCGCGTTTAGAGTAGGAACTCAAATTGTTATAAAAAAGAGAAAAAGTGACTTTCTTTAAGAGAACCTTGTAAATTCCTGCAAAGAAATAAATGATTTGAATTTTGAATGGGAGGTCCATACTTTTTTTTTCATATTACGACCCATGTCACATGGAGAAATACCTTTTTGTTACTTTGTGATGAATATTACTTTTTCATACCTGCTTGATTCTAAAACATTAGCAAATATTTTTGACGTAAATTATTTTGATTTCACTTAACTGTATACTATATATTGCTGCATTCGCAGCCGTATGACGCTCCCTTTCTCACTTAAGTTGACCAGTAAGTGGGAAAGCGAGCGCCAAATAACTGTAATACGGTGGCGAATGCAGCAAGTAGCCGTCTCAGGGATAGTGACGTTACATTACATTATAATATTTTACGTCAAAGATATAACTATAGGCTAATAATGCTGCTGTCAAATACATTTGATTCGATTTTCCGAGAAATTGCGCGTCGTAACAAAATCAAACATCATGCATAATGCAAAATAAGTATAGAATGTGATAAAAATAACAGAGATAATAATTTTGTACTAGAAAAGACATTTAAAATAACAAACGTTTCTTTTATTTTTAATTTTTCCTAGCTATAGTTACTACTCTTTACCTTTTTGGAGGAAATACATACAATATTAATAAGAGCGATTTTAGGGATGAAGATATTGAAGATTGTCAAAATTATTATGAAATCAATGACAAAATCCCTTCCTATGATAACTTTCTAATGTGTTTAAAACAGAACAATCGTTATTAACCCTGAAAAATCCAACACAGTATTTTCAATCAAAGCGAATCCCAACCCCGTTCTTGCGCTATAAAAAGATGATGCACCGAATCGAATGACTCGACGAGCTACCGATTCAGACAGCGTCCCTGAGACACACGGTCACGTAGACCAGCCAACAATCCCCCAATCAGGTTGTAGGGGGGTTGTTCGCGCGCGCCCGTGCGTGATCGATCTTACTCATGTTTGGCTCCATTCCAGCTATATGATTTCCTTTATGATGCTTAAGATACCATTCCACGGAATTGTAAAATTGTGAAGCTACATCACGTGCAGTTTTCGGTGGTTTTCTGGTGCGGTTCGGAATCTAGAGACAATTGAGATTTGAGATTGTAGCGGTTTCGTTAGCGGTCGCTGGCACGGTGTCAAGAAAGTTTCTTTTGGGCCTTTAAAATGTATTTATTTTAGAGGTTTTGTGGCAGCTGGGATAATATGCTTTAATATGTTACCTTGACCGTTTTAAAGCTAGTAGATAATGTTACTAAAGCTAAAGATGGGATCTCGTAATTACCAACCTGCTTACTGTAGACTTCTTTGAAGATTTCTTCTTCTGTTAGCTTCTTCTGTCGTCGTCTTTTCTATAATTACCAAAAAGAAGGAGAAAACAATATTTTTGTAATTTTTGCATTTTTGTGTAATTTCTGTGTATTTCTGTGTAGTAATACAGCTCTTACTATTACAATGTTTTGCTGACTTGCAAACTTATTTGAATTTTTTAAATTCTGTTTACATATCCACCGTTATCTAGAGTTTAAGCCTATTTTTAAGCCTATTACTTAATAGGTAATCAGGTGCACTGATATGTACAATCTAATCAGTAATTGCCAGTTGCCAGATGTTTCATTCAAATATGCTGTGTCATACATTAACGTCCGCCAAATCCACCAATACTTTATCAATACCTTACATAATACAAAATAACCTCGATTTCGTCGAAAACTTGCAATATTTTACACCGCAAGCTTCATTTGAACCTTTGACTTTCGGCATCTGTACTGGCGACACCTTTTAAATCTGTAAAATAAATGAAACCCTGCCACGCGTTAGTGGTCCAAGATGCACTTGCTTAATTTCGCAGGCAGTAGCTCAGATGGTAACGATGGTAAGAAAGGCGTCGCCGGTACGGTAGGTACCGATGGCGAAAATCGTAGGTTCAAACCTGTTTTTTTTTTTCATAAATTAATTGTATATGTACCTAACATATTATGAAGGGACCTATTCAACTCTGTACAACTCTGTATTTAAATTCTCAGTCCGTTTACTGGTGAACCCTGTGTGTGATACAAAGCAGCCAGCTCAACTCTCAGGCTGCGAGTGCTTGATCCAGCTCCCTTTTTTAATTAATACCACTTCGAACAGCTCCCAAAGAATGCTCCAAGTCATTATAAGTTTTAATAGCATTTGACTTCACAGCAAGAATGGAAACAAATTTCCGTGCGTCATGAGTTTCAGTTGGATTTTATTGGAATAGGAATAGTTGGAACGGATGTGGGATTTGGAAGTTTGCGATGTATTATGACAAAAGGCTGAGGACTTTTTGTGAAAACTTTCAGATTCATATTGCGCCTTACTCGGTATGAACGGGTGGAACTAGTATGCACGCAACCTCTCTGTAGATCAGTAGCTAAACTATAGTGACAACTCTATTGAACATCTATACTTCTCATTTATTTGACGTAGGTATGTATAGAACTGTTGCTTACGCTTGACAGTACGGGACGATACGCGCACTCTTTATCTTGGTATAATGTTACCAGCCAAACCCGATTTTAGGATAAACTAGATTTTCCTAGGCCAAAGTAGTTTATCCTACATGCGATTGGATAAACCGGTATAGACTAGGCTAAACCGGTCCGTCCGATGGCCGATAGGAGAAACTAGTTAATCCTAGGCTGAACTAGTTGAGCCTAAAGTGAATAAATACGCTTCAGGATAAACTGGTTTGACATAGTTAAAAATCATATTTCTTCATGTATGGGGCGTTCCATAAAGGTCGTATTTAACATCTGTCATATACTAATGTCCTATTTTCGTCATTTCCCAAAACACTTTTCTAGGGAAATGTATTTAAGGTTCATAAGCTTATCACGCCTCCAATGTTTTCGATACACCATCCTTTAATACTCGTTATATAATTAAGTCAAAATTAATTAATAAAATAGTGTAAGCTGGATGGCTCTCTCGCGATACTTTAAATCGAAAACCAATTAAGGAAAAACTCTACCTACCCACATGTAAAACTACGTGCATATACGTGAAACTGTAACACATATATACAACGATAAAACAAAAGATGGATGTGAATGTACTGGAAGTGAAAGAGCTTATAGAATTTATTTTACCAACTAAATACAGGTTCTCTTCAAACACTGATAGAGTGCATTCAGACCATGAAACTGAACAACGTACCATAAGAAACTATTTCAGGATATTTTTTTTTACTTACCATAGTAAATACAGTCTGTTATTTGTTAAAAAAAATAGTTACTCATACAAAAATATCAGATAAGCAAACCATTTCTTCTGGGTGTGAATTCTTTTGAATGTTTTGACTTATGGACAGTTAATCAGTTTGACGTGTAGACCTTAATGTTTTTAGGAAAGTCCCGTTTGTGACTATAAACATAATAAAATTGATCAGGGTCAGCCAGGCGCCCGTAGCTCAGTTGGCAGAGCAGTGCGACGGTACCCTACCCACGGCCCCGGGCTCAAGACCCGGCGGTCGCTTAAGAATATTTCAATTTTCTTATTTTCAATTTATAGCACTGTGAGTGCATTCAAAATTTCAATACATTGGTACTGTCCTGTATGAAATAAAGGCACATCTAGGGCTGACTCTATATCTGCGTGAACTCGTTTAATTAACACGAGTGACAGGCCGCCGCGAGCCGCACCGACAGCCGTACGCGACAACCCGATGAACCCTGGTGTCATAGTAACTATAAAATAAAGGCACATCTAGGGCTGTCTCTAGATCCATGTGAACTCGTTTAATTAACACGAGTGACAGGCCGCCGCGAGTCGCACCGACAGCCGTACGCGACAACCCTATGAACCATGGTGTCATAGCCTTACCTTTATTAACCTATATTACCCTTTATAAAATTATGGCACATCAATTCAGTTCGATTTTGTAATTATGGCTTCTGTCAGCAACGACAATTCTGTCAATGGAGGCACATCTAGGGCTGGCTCTAGATCTATGTGAACTCGTTTAATTAACACGAGTGACAGGCCGCCGCGAGCCGCACCGACAGCCGTACGCGACAATGCGCGTCTGCCTTGATTTAAACGTACAGCCATGGGATGTACGGCTAATTCTCTTTATATGAACCTGGAATGTACAGCTAATTTATCTAATACATTTAATATTTTTAATTTATTTATAGTATTATCAGGAAAGTGCTGTTTGGTACCAACCTGTATGAAATAAAAGCACATCTAGCGCCCTCTCTAGATCAATGTGAACTCGTTTAATTAACACGAGTGACAGGCCGCCGCGAGCCGCACCGACAGCCGTACGCGACAACCCGATGAACCCTGGTGTCATAGTTACTATGAAATAAAGGCATATCTAGGGCTCTCTCTAGATCTACGTGAACTCGTTTAATTAACACGAGTGACAGGCCGCCGCGAGCCGCACCGACAGCCGTACGCGACAATGCGCGTCTGCCTTGATTTAAACGTACAGCCATGGGATGTACAGCTAATTCTCTTTATATGGATAAAGGTTTTGTTTATAATACCACTTACTCGTAATATTTTTCATTCATAGTCTTGAGTTTTTACGTGGGTCTGCTATAAGTGGAAAAAAATACTCCTTAGATGAGTAAAGGTATTGATTGGTGATCCATTAAGTAGGCAAATTGAAGAAATGTTTACCTCGAGGATTACAATTATTTTTTCAGACTAACTACAAAAGCGCCAAACCATAGCAAGATTCTTTAAAGATACTGTAGCATGAACACAATAGGCTCTATATCACCAACAAGTTTGAACGCGTGTCTAGCGGTTGATTTTATGCAGATATTTTAAGCGTTCAATGCTAGTTTAGCTTTTTATATTACTTAACGTCTTACGCTGTGGTCAAGACCAAGAAAAATTCAAGAACGAACAAACACACGAACAATGTGTACCTAAAATATCTAACATTTTTCCTACGAAACCAAAACAAAACGCCGCAGGTTAGGAAGATAAACAGTGAGCTCCCGCGGTCCAGCCGCTGTAATTGCTTTGCCTGTCCGATCTGTTTGTTTGTTTGTCCAGGTAAGTGTGGTGGGGGGAGGGGGGCTAATACAAACTTAGATGCATTGTGGTTTGAGTTGTGGGAACAGAGGAAAAACAAGAACGTAAACTACGTGAGGGAGTTAGTTCAGCTCGTAAGGAAGTCTTATTAGTTTCGAAGGAGAGCTAATTGGACAAAATATTGCTAGTTTTTTTTTGTGTCAGAGCCGCAGCTATAACACTCGATGTGGATAAAGGCAACGTAAGTATGGTTTACGTGTATAATACAATTCGGTATTGCTCTCATAGGAGAATAGTAAGTGTTTAAAAAAATTAAGATCCATGAAATCAAAAATGCTTCAGCTCAGACTTCGAGAGGCTCAAAAATAAATCAACAAAAGCAACGGAACAACATCTTTTCATTCCGATATCGGTCATTCAATTGCCGACCGTTCGTTCAGGAATGTAATTGGATTCCATTCACTCATCGGTCCAACTTTACCTATACGAACGAGAGCAAAAGAATGTAAGATGGGAAAATATTTTAATTGGTTTTGTTGGTTTGTTTTTATCATAGCGGCTGGTAAGTACTGTCTGCACCAGAAGAAATCACCCATTGAAGGATGGATCTATAATTATTTTATAACTATTATTAAAGCAGAAAATATAGAATATTGACTCAAACCCCTACTAGATAACTACTTACTCGAAGCTTAATGGGGCATCAATTGAAATAGGTTAATACCTGCATGTCATAAAATATGATACCACAACTTGCATGGCAAATATTTTATATCAAATTCAAAACATGATTGAACTATTTACGTACGTAGGTAGGTAGCTATTTGGATATAACACCGGCGAATTCCCAATTATTCCGAAAGGTACTCTTGTAGGTTAATTTTTACATTTTATACATCTTGATAATTATCATACATCACAAATGTTGGTAGTGCTTAAAAAGACTATAATTGATGCAGGCTATAAAAAGAAGTCCAAAAACTAAAACCCGACTACTGAGAGATCGCGCTCTAAAAAGAAATAAACAAGAATTTTTAAATATTAACTACACACAATTTAATGCCTCTTTCGTCTACAAAAGTGATAAAAAGCTAACACCTATAATAATTAATTTTTGTGGAAATTTAATATAAATTCATATTGGTTTTGAGGTGATAGCTGTGGTCGTGTGCCACTTTGCCTATATTTTTTTTTATTACGTAAGAAGTACTGGAATACGTGGCACACGACCACAGCTATCACCTCAAAACCAATATGAATTTATATTAAATTTCCACAAAAGTAATTATTATCTCGGTGTTAGCTTTTTATCACTTTTGTAGACGAAAGAGGCATTAAATTGTGTGTAGTTAATATTTAAAAATTCTTGTTTATTTCTTTTTAGAGCGCGATCTCTCAGTAGTCGGGTTTTAGTTTTTGGACTTCTTTTTATTTTAAATATTTTGGAGTTAAGCATATTAAATAAGTTCCAAACACGCCTGTAATAACAAAGAATACTCAATATAGCTACTCTTGTAATACTGTAGCAGATGTGGAAAGTGTACATACCTACTCCAAAACGTAAATGATAGCTGTTTCGCTATAGAAAAATACATTAAAAGAATAAGAAGACATTTATTGTTAAAACGAAAAAGTTCTGATGATGATCCTCGTCTTTTTTTAAATCATCCTAAAAAGATTTATGCTTGTCACAAATCTCCAAAACCTCGAAATTCAAATACTTCTAGTGTTAAAATATCGCTAAAATTTTTATACATCATAGAGGTAGGAGAGAGAGAGACAGAAGAAAAGCCTAAGAAATTAAGCAATGTACCTTGGCCAATAACGCAAAACCATCCTAAAACCGCCTGAAGTGAAACTATTGTCGAGAAGACAAATAGCTGCATTCATCGCCTTATAGACTTTCTTTTCCCACTTGGTGGCAAACTCAAGTGCGAAAGGGAACGCCATACGGCTGTAAATGCAGCGATCCCCCGAGGAGATGGTTGGTGCCAGGTTTACTTATGAAAGGGATATTAACGTTTAACTTTTCTGTGAGCAAGCCCCCTCAACCCCCCCGAGTCGATAGTTGGTGCGAGTTTCACTTCTAAAGTAGATGTCCACGTTTCTTTTTTCTGTGAGGGGGGCAAGCCCCCCTCAACCCCCCGAGTCGATGGTTGGTGCGAGTTTCACTTCTAAAATAGACGTTTACGATTCTTTTTTATGTGAGGGGGGCAAGCCCCCCTCAACCCCCCACGTCGATGGTTGGTGCGAGTTTCGCTTCTAAAGTAGATGTCCACGTTTCTTTTTTCTGTGAGGGGGGCAAGCCCCCCTCAACCCCCTGAGTCGATGGTTGGTGCAAGTTTCACTTCTAATGTAGGTGCCCACGTTTATTTTTTCTGTGAGGGGGGCAAGCCCCCCTCAACCCCCCACGTCGATGGTTGGTGCGAGTTTCACTTCTAAAGTAGATGTCCACGTTTCTTTTTTCTGTAAGGGGGGCCAGCCCCCCTCAACCCCCCGAGTCAATGGTAGGTGCGAGTTTCACTTCTAAAGTAGATGTCCACGTTTCTTTTTTCTGTGAGGGGGTAAGACCCCTCAACCCCCCCGCGTCGATGGTTGGTGCAAGTTTTACTTCTAAAGTAGATGTCCGCGTTTCTTTTTTCTGTGAGGGGGGCAAGCCCCCCTCAACCCCCCGAGTCAATGGTTGGTGCGAGTTTCACTTCTAATGCAAATGTACACGTTTCTTTTTCTGTGAGGGGGGCAAGCCCCCCTCAACCCCCCGAGTCGATGGTTAGCTTGAGTTTTGCTTCTAAAGTAGATGTCCACGTTTCTTTTTTTGTGAGGCGGGCAAGCCCCCCCTCAACCCCCCACGTCGATGGTTGGTGCGAGTTTTACTTCTAAAGTAGATGTCCACGTTTCTTTTTTCTGTGAGGGGGGCAAGCCCCCCTCAACCCCCCGAGTCGATGGTTGGTGCGAGTTTCACTTCTGAAGTAAATGTCCACGTTTCTTTTTTCTGTGAGGGGGGCAAGCCATCCTCAACCCCCCGAGTCGATGGTTGGTGCAAGTTTCACTTCTAATGTAGATGTCCACGTTTTTTTTTTCTGTGAGGGGGGCAAGCCCCCCTCAACCCCCCGAGTCGATGGTTGGTGCGAGTTTCACTTCTAAAGTAGATGTCCACGTTTTTTTTTCTGTGAGTGGGGCAAGCCCCCCTCAACCCCCCGAGTCGATGGTTGGTGCGAGTTTCACTTCTAAAGTAGATGTCCACGTTTCTTTTTTCTGTGAGGGGGGCAAGCCATCCTCAACCCCCCGAGTCGATGGCTGGTAAGAGTTTCACTTCTAAAGTAGATGTCCACGTTTCTATTTTCTGTGAGGGGGGCAAGCCCCCCTCAACCCCCCGAGTCGATGGTTGGTGCGAGTTTCACTTCTAAATAAAGTAGATGTCTACATTTCTTAGATGTCACGTAAGTATACGTTTCTTTTTGCGTGTTTGGATCGCACTGGGT